TAGCTTTGATCCCCAAGCATAACTGGCGACGTCTTACTCAGCAGAGGTCCAGGTATCTCGAAGAAGACTGTTAAACTGAAGCTGGTCAGTGAGAAGGAAGAGCTGAAGGTAATTCTGATAGTTTCACATCTTAAAAGAAAGGATGACTACCAATCTATAACTTGACCACAGTTCAATAACCACCGCTTGCTTTTTTTTTTTCAATAACCGATCTGAATGGGTTACTTACTTGGCTATTTAAAGAGATAGCTTGTTCCAGAGATTCTCTATTTGTTTATTTTAATTTCCATTTTGATACAAACCACCACTCTGAGTCTAATAATGTTGACTACTAGCAAATGCTAATAAGTAGAATTAAGAACATATCTAGCCCAGCCCTTTCATTTTACAAATGGGCACGAGGAAGCCGTAGGAAGTGAAGTCATCATCCCAAGATCAAACATCCAATAGGTTCACAGTTTTGTTTTATTTGTGTAGCATGAACCTCAGTTTAGCTGTATGCAACTTTACATAATAGATGAGTTTCCTACTGGTTGTATGTAAATAGAATCTTTGTCAAGTAAACCATATGTTCAATGGACTAAAAAAAAGTTCTGGTTAAAAAAATACAAGTATAGATTCCTTTGGTTAAAGATGAAAAGGTTTTTCAAGATGGAGGCAGGAGTGGCATGGTTTCTCAATCTTTCCAATCTCCACATAGAAACAGACAAAGCAACTAGATAGCAAAGACCCATTAACAGCATTTAACAGAAAGTTGTACGGAGCTATCACCACCAGTTCCAAATACAAATGAGTGGGGACGAAGCACCCCCATGACACCAGATATACATGGTATCAGCTTCTATTCAGGAGAAAGTACAGGCAAGGCACGGGAATCTGACCAACCTGAGAACAGGACACCCCAAAATAACAACAAAAATTTGATGAAATACGATAGGACTATTTGCAAACAGCAGTTAAAAACCAAAAAAAGGTTTGGCTCGGTCTAACAGTGGTTGAGTACAAGGGGTCACAATAGGGTCAGATACATACGAACTATCAAAACTAATCACACAGAGTTCCCTTCCAGGATAGGGCTGACACATAGAAATTTGAAACTACATATTGAAACTTCTAGTCATGGAATAAAAGCTAACCAGGGTAACGACAATAGGGAAATAAGGAAAGAGGAGGTCCCAATAAAAGTAGGCATGGAGGACAGAGCCAGTAAATTTCAGAGAGCAAGCCATGATATTTTTGAACACTACGAGAAAACAATAGAAGGATGATCAGTGCAAATTGAGAGAAGCTACGCTGAACAACACCTTCTTCTTAAAGTTCAGAAAAAATTAGTTTCACATAAAGATGAGAAAAAGAAAGATGTGGAGGTCAAATCCCACACAAAGTTACCATAAGAATAAAAAAGGATAAGGGGAGAATAGCACTGCTTCAGACACGGGAAGCATGCTAGGAAGACATGCCCACACAACAGATCAAACTATAACTAGAATCTAAAAGACATGAAGAAAATCATATAAGATAAGAAGAATTAGAATTAGAAAGAAAAATCTCAGAAATGAGGTGGTAGCCATCAGGAAATATTACATATAAAAGAAAAATTTTTGAAAAACTGAGTATAAAATTAGAAAGAACACAGGAGCAATAAACACAACAGATAATATCTTAAATAGAAAGGAAAAAATGAAAAATTTTAAAATCAAAAACAATGAAAAAAATAAAAAAGATTTATGACCAAGTAACAATATTGAAGATATCCAAAGATATCCAACATAGAAATAGTGGAAGTTCCTGAAAGAATAAATCCAAAGAAAGGGAACAGAACAAATACTGAAAACTGTAATTCAATAAAACTTCCCTGAAATAAAGAGATTTGAAACTACACATTGAAAGAGCACATTCTTATACCTAAGAATATTGACTTAAAATGACCAATACTATGATATATTCTAGTAAAATTACTGAAATTTAAAGAAACAGGAAAAAAACTCTTCTGGGTATCTAGGAAAAAAGGGCAAGCAATGTCTAAGGAGAGGAAAATTATATAATTATCAGCTTGTCAACAGCAATGCTTTATGCCATAAGAAAACAGAGAAACATATTTAAGATACTCAAGGGAAAAAAATGTGAGCCAGTGATTTTATATCCAGCACAGCTGACTTTCAAGTATAAAGACCATTGAGAAATCTTTTACAGACAGGAAAGAACTCAAGGAACACAGTTCCCATGAGCTCTTCCAAGGGATCTACTAGAAAATATGTTTCAGGTATCAAAATGTCTAGAGAAACATCAACCTTAGAATGGTGGCAAACATTAAAAATGTAGTTACTTGTACCAAGACTAAGTGAGGGTTAAAGGGAGACATTTAATGACTATATGCTCAGGCAGCGCAGATAGGCTATAGCTCTTGGAATAGAAAGAGAATGGAAAGAGCATAAGCAAAAATTTTTCACTTTTCTTAGTAATTATATCAGTGGTGGTAGAATCAATGTCATCATTTTGAGACTCATATATGTAATATAGGAACAGTAAATGAGTAATTATGAAATACTAGATATTCCAGTTCTATCATCCAGGACCCTTGAATGGGAAGTACAAGTATGAACTCATGAGGTGTTTTATGAAGAGATATGGCGGGGGGGTGGGGCAGGGGGGATTACAAATAATCAGCAATCCAGTAGCAGTGAGCATCCCTAGCAACCCAGATTCTTAGATGATATGGATGTACTTTCCACTTAAATAAATAAAGAGACATTTTGGAGAAATGACTGGTTTTATGTGTAGGATGAGCCTGGAACATCTCTTTTATATCAGGTAATAAGAAAGCTATTAAAAACTATTAAGGTCATATCAAAGGCTCTCAGAAGTCAACCTAAAGGTAAGGCTCCCACCAGCTAAAGACGAGATGATTTGAAATTCAAAAAGGATAATCATGGCAATTGGAAGCCATCAAATATATTTAAATACATTGATTCATAATCATTTTTAAAATCTAGTTGGTTATTTTTGGAAGAAAATTGAGAACCAATTAACTTGAGAACTGATCAGTAGAGGGAAAGGATCAAGCACATATCTTATCTTTTCCATATAAACTGGGTACCCCTGGGTATCCAAAGAGTAGATGCTAGAAATCATCTCACTGTAAAATGTTCCAAGTAATAAGTGAAAAAGAAATCATAGAATTAGAACGTGGCCCTTTTGTGACCTCTAAAGAAGGAATGGCTGCTAATATCACAAAAGAAAAGACAAGCAGACCTCATGCGCTTTCTGAAGAAAGGTCACACCACCCACCCACTTTGGTCTTGCCAGTGGGACAGAACCCAGTCTGATCAAGCCTCTGCATCCAGCTGCCAATTAACAAAAACAGAGGAAACGGAGGGACATGTCAAGCTATACCGTACAACACACTCAACAAAATCAGGACTGTGGGAAACTCTACAGATTGGAAATACTGTGGGTTTGAATTTTTGTGCTATTTTGTTTGTTTATAATGTTTAGTTTTATTAATTGGTTGAACTAATGCATTTTGGAGAGGAAAGGCTCATGTGACACATCCACTCAGTGCAGAAGTAGTGGCCTCTACCCCTGGCCTTGACCACTGCTGGAACCGCGGCCACAGTCCCGCGGTCCAGGGCGCCGCCTTCTGTGGGGGTCGGCAGCCCAGACGCAGCTTGCTGAGAATCTGCTCTGCTCTGGGCTACACTTTGGTGACTCATCATCCCAACCTCACAACCACACCACACATCTGGATAGACAGTTCCTAGAAATGACAGTTTCAGAGAGGTTTATAATGGCTACCAATTCCCAGCAAGACAAAGGGGTGTTTGAGAATTTTTACCAACCCAGGATCATAAACATCCAGAAGCAACTTACTCCTTTCCACCAGAAAAACCCAGTTTCTAAATCTAAAACTTGGCGAGCACATCAATTTTTATGCTTTTTCTGCAAAGCCAAGGAACCACGAGAGTTGAAAAACTTAAAAAAAAGAAATCCAGTGGCCAAGAAGCTTTTATCTTAATCCAGAGTAACACATCAATAATAATATAGACAGATGATAAACAGGTAACATTGACCACGTGGCAGAGGCTTCTCTAAGCGGATTACATACATTCATTTATGTCATCCTCCACACAGAGGTCAGGTGGCTCTTCCCTTCCCTTTCTACAGATAGTAGAACTGAGGAGCAGAGAGGTTAAATAACGTGCCCAAGGACACAGAGCTAGGAAGTAGCAGAGCTAGGACTCAAACTATATGGTCTGTGCTATTAGGCACATGTTACTTCATTGTCCCAAGCTCTTAACGCCTTGGCAAGTGCACTAAATGCTAGGGTAGGGAAGATAGTGGTCTGTGTCTGAACCCCCTTGGCTTGTTGGATTTGCATTTCAAAACCTCTGGCAGAGAGCACAGCTAATCCATGATCAAATAGCATCCATCATGTCTCCATAATAGTTCTTGAAGCTCTCCGCTTCTCTCCACCCCCATTGCTACAGCTCTGGTTCAAGCCCCCGTCATTTCTCCACTAGATCATTGCAACAGCCTCCCAAGTTAGCTTTCTGTCTCTAGCCCTAACTGGAGAGGAGGAGAAGAGACCCAAAGAAATATAAAAACGTGCCTACCTAGTCAAAGAATTCACATACACCAGCCCCAGCAACTTCTAGAAGTGAGGACTGGAGATGGAAGCAGTTGCAAACTCAGGTCATTCCAAATCTAGAGAAAGTCAAAATCAGAGCCACTGTGAAGACCAGTAAATCAAAACATGCCTTAGAGAGCAAGCCGCCTGGACTTGCCCTCGGGGACTACTACAGCTGTACACAGGAGTCATCTGCTCTCCTCCCCACCTCCTCCAGCCTCTCTGGAGCTTGGGGCTCCTGATCAGAAAAGCTTGTCTGGCTCCTTTCACCCTCCCTCCTACACAGGCCTTCCTGAGATGTGTCCTGGGCAGGGCAGTGAGCAGGAAGGAGACTCCTCACATGATCCAGCTTATTCCTTCCTTTCCCCCTTCCCCAAGCAGCGCTCTGCAGTAAGAGCACAGCAGAAATGCAGACCGAAGGGGGCCAACGGTGGGCAAGAAGGGCTCTGCTCCTCGGCATCCTCTGGGCTACCGCACGCTTGCCTCCCCCAGGCGCCTCCCTGCCCCAGCGTCTCCCAAGGGCCACAGGTAGGTGGACACTGGGGTCAGCCGTCCCTGCCGCTGATGCCACGTATGGATGAAGGGACAAAGGGAGAGGAAAATTCTCCCTTGACTCACTTCGGCTTATGCTTCCTCCTCTGACTATTAGCATTTGGAAGAATATCAAACACTTTTGATCCCTCATAAGTTCTCAAAGATAGTTCAGAAAGAATTCACAGACTTCATGAAGCAGGCGAGTCTCCAGTTTTTTATTGTTGGAGACTTACCATGAAAAAAAAAAAAATCTTCTTTCATTTTAGAAATTCTCTCTGCAACAGTGGAGGATTCTTCGCAGGCCTGTGGGCAGCTTGGGCTCTGAAATGGGAAAATGAAATTGTACAGATATTAGGAATCTTTCTCATCAGAGATACAGTTTCTCTTTGAGAAGGAAGAGGGGTTCAGAATTCCCTTTTAGAAATAAAGGAGACAAGGAAGAGTGATTTCATGATTTTTTTTTTTTTAATTTTTTCACTCTCATCAGCTTATTTCATTAAAGCTCCTCTTTCAGGCCCCAAAGATTTTTTTTTTTTTTTTTAAGCTCTACAAAGCTCTACATCATATTCAAAAGTGCTTTATACATTTTCACCAGGGTTCTTAAAATTCCGCCCAGTTACTGCACACGTGGAGTTTTCTTAAGGAATCTCTTTTTGTGGGCTTGGAACCAGCTACACCAGCATACTTCAGATTTTCACCTTCTTTTCCTTACCAGGAAATAGCACCCAATGTGTTTCGTCTCCATCACTGGAATTTCCTGAAGGGTTTTTCACGAAACAGGAGCGCTGGGATGGAGGCATTGTCCTCTACTTCCTAATTATCCTTTACATGTTCATGGCCGTGTCTATTGTTTGTGACGAGTACTTCCTACCCTCCCTGGAGATCATCAGTGAATGTAAGTGGCTGGAAATCTCCCCTATAAGCTTCCAAAATAGTGGTGTCCCATGTATGTGGCTGTCTTTAAAACAGCTCAGCAAACAATTCTGTCCATCTCAGCTGGTTGCCGAGCACAGACTTCTGTGTTGCGGGGCCCTACCTTAAGGAACTGGCCTGCGTGTTGTTTTTTCTTGGTAGTTCATGGGCAGCAGGGCATCTTTAAATTAGTACCCAGCAATTATTATTACAAAGACTATCTCCAGAAACTCTTTGGCTACGATACGGCTGGCAGCTTGTTAGTAAACTGTTCCAAGTTTTCGCATATATGCACTTGGTGTGTACTCCTAAGACAAGGCACTCCTAATGCTTGCCATTTTATACTTTAAAAAACTTTCTTTCAGTTTTATTCTAAAATTGTAATTTTTTTTAAGGTAGATGGATGGTAAACAAATGACATTAAGGACTATTCTCTTCCCACCACCCCCTTCCTTTTTCAGCCTTATTCTAGTAAGGAAACTAACTGATGTTTATGAACCAAAAATAAATAATAAGTCCTGCATCCTATGTAAAGTGACCTCAGGCATCAGATAATCGTAAATTCAGTTATTAAACATTAAGCTCAGTTACTGGTTTCTGAAAAGAAGATCGGCCAGGCCAAGCCTCTCTCTTCCATCCCCTCAGCCATGTATATCACCCAGAACCCTGAGCATAGGCCTTTCATTGGTATCCCAGTCCCTTAAAGTCAGGATATCAATGATGATTCATGCCCTATACAACAAAAGTGCCCGCAGAAGTTCCCAGTCTGTCTCCAGCTTGGCTAGTTCAGTTGGTTGAACATGCTCACCTCAGAGAATGTCAAAGTAAAGGGTTAGGTTTCCAAGTGCATGCTCACAGGATTGCGCAGAAACAGCATCCTCTCCTCCCACCACACCCACACCCACACCAACACACACTGCTAGCATTTCTTCCCAGAGAGAGAGAGCTAGAACATTAACTCTCCCTTTGCCATGCAGGCCCCTGGCCCCGCTGAAATGCTCCTGATTTTCTCTCCTGTTCACTGCACCATCGCAGTATCCTTAAGACCTACAGCAGGACCTGGCAAGAACACAGAGGTTCTCAGCACGTATTTGTTTAAAGAAAAAAATTCATAGAACAGGTCAGCATAAGTTTTTTATAATTATTATGATTTAACTCAAGTAGGTATAAACATAGTCATTTTTATATTGGCATTCCATTTTACAACAGCATTAATATTTTTCTATAATACCGATTAAATTACTTTAACATAGTATTTTTACCTAGATTGATAAAATGCAAGAAAAAAAAGAAGAAAAAAGTAAAATCACCTACATCTTCATCACCCAGAGATCCCCACAGCATCTGGTTTATTTCCTTTCAGGGTTTTAGGGCTTGCTATAGATACAGTTTGAGGTTTTTTTCTTCTTCCTCATACAATATTTTATTCTGCACATTTTCCTATATTATTAAATACTCTTCAAAAACATGATTTTTAATGGTAGCATGATTTTGTAAATGATGTAAGTACCTAACACTGTGTTTTATACATAGTAAATACCCAGTTGAAATGTATCATAATTTTTAAAATTATTAATCTCTTTGGACTTTTTTTTATTTTTTATTCCAAGCAATGTTGTGCCCATACTTGCATAAAACCTTTGCAAACTTCTCTGATCATTTTTTGATAAAGATGCACTTCACAAAGGGTCTGCCAACTTAAACCTCCAGAATGTGGGATAGCTTCCATTCCAGAAAACCATGAATAATAACATAATATTTTTGCTAATTTCTTTAAAATGGAACTTCATTTTATAAAATGTGTATTTATCTTATTATTTGTGAGGTTGAACATTTCATTTTATTGAAATTTGTGGTTTTGCTTTTGTGCTTTTTTTGCCCATGTTCTGACAGGAGGGGATTTGTCTTTTTCTTATTGATTCCCAAGACTTCTTTTTTCTCATATAAGGATATTAACCCTTTTCCTAATATAATTTTTATATCATATGCTTTTTCGTAGTTTGCTGTTTGCTTTTGTATTTTGTGTGTTTATCACATTGAAGTTTACATATCTTTAAGTGAATTTATAAATATTTTCTTTTATGATTCTCCTTTTGGTTTTATACTTAGAAAGACATTTATCCCCAGGTCAGAAAAATTGTCATATTTTCTTTTACTTGTAGTTTCTCTTTTTTTTTTTTTTTTACATTTCTTTCTTTCACTAAGAATTTGTTTTACTATAGGATGCAATGCTATTTTTTCAGAAAGTTGATCAATTTCACATACTAAATTCTTTCATCTATGTGTATGTACATCCGCTTCTATACTCTTTACTGTTGTAATAATTATTTGTTCACCCTAGTGCCAGGACTGAACCTTTAGTTAGAAAACCTACATAGACCATGTTAATTATATTAAACTAAGAAATTTTATTTTATTTTTATTTATCTTATTTTTTTAAGATTTATTTATGTTAGAGAGAGAGAGAAAGAGGAAGTGCTCGAGCAGGAGAGGGGCAGAGGGAGAGGGAGAGAGAGAATCCCAAGCAGACCCCATGCTGAGCTCAGAGCCTGACTCAGAGCTCAATCTCATGACCCTGAGACCATGACCTGAGCCCCTGGGGTGCCTGGGTAGTTCAGTCAGTTAAGCAGGCGGACTCTTGGTTTCAGCTTAGGTCATGGTCTCAGGGTTGTGAGATCGAGTCCCCCAATAGGCTCCAAGCTCTGCATGGAGTCTGCTTAAGTTTCTCTTTCCCTCTCCCTCCGCCTCTCAACCCCACCCCCTGCCTCAGGCTCACACATTCTCTCTCTCTTTCTCTAAGATAAATAAATAAACCTTTAAAAACAAAACAAAACAGAAACTAGGACATTTTAAATTCAAGTTACTTTGTCCCACCTTGAAAATTTCTCGTCCTAGAAAATAGTCAAAAAATGTTTTTGTTTTCACATTTCCAAACAATAACTTGACTAAAAGAATAAGTTCATCAAGAATCTTGTTTATAAAAAAATTGTCTTGGGTGTAAATAAATAACTTTTCTAGGCCTGCAGCAGAAACTGCATTAAAATTTAGATTGCTACTTCAAAATAATCTAATCAATGATTAGATTACTAGTTTATTATAAAAGGATATCACTCAGGAACAGCCAGAGGGAAGAGATGCATGGGGCAAGGTACGAGGAAAGGGAGCAGAGCTTCCATGCCCTCTGCAGACACATCACTCTCCCAGCTCTCCAAATCCCATCTTTTTTGCTTGGGGAGGCTTCATCACCTAAGCATTATTGATTACGTCATTGACCACTGGCAACTGATTCAGCCTCCAGCCCTTCTCCTTTTTCCTTTCTCTGGAGGCCAGGGGGTGGGACTAAAAGTTCCCCCCCTCTAATCACACGATTTGTTCCCTTGGCAACCAGCAGTCATGCTCAGATGGTGTCCAAAATATACCTCATTAACATAACAAAAGGCACCTTTATCACTCTCTGTACTTAGGAATTTCCCGGGCTTTTGGGACCTGTGAGCCAGAAACCATGGACGAAAACCAAATATATATTTTTTATAAACCACAATATCACAGCCCACTTCCTGGTCTTCACACACATATCCCCCTTATGGCAAAACAATCATGGCAGTCCAAAGATACTGACCTATTACTAGACTCTCATTCAGTCGTTGGTAACTACCCAGTCCATTGTGCTGGTCTAGATCGCAAGCAGCAATACCAGCAAGCGCCTCTCCCTCAGCCCATTCCAGATCAGACAGTGAAGGCCACACTAGGTGCACAACTAGTGAGCTATTTTTACCAGAAGCAATAGAGCTGAATTCACTACTAATCCCAACTTGACAGAGGGGGTGAAGGTACACCCTATCCCACCAGGCTCTCAGGAATTGTGGCAGAAAGGTTAAAGACATGGTCAGTTTCTGGCTTAGCCATTCTCCCTGCTTCCAGCCCTTGTAGCTGCAGTCTTGGTCCTGGGACCCCTGCATCTAGCGGGGCGGGGGGTGGGGGGTGGGAAACAAAACAGAAGTTGAGGCAATGTGAGGGAGAAAGAATACCAACAGCTTCCCCTCCCACTCTTGCCCAGATCCACCAGAAAACAGGAAGCTACCGAGTGGGGCCACCCCTCAGGACTCCGCATGTGGAGGGTGAGCAAACATTCATGATGGCTGGTGAGCCAGCTCTCCGTGCCTTTTTCTTCCCCCATTTTCAATAACCAGTGTTTCAATCGCCCACTCCAATTCTTTATCAAACTTATCTCTCTGCCCATGGGCAGCAAAATGTGCTCCTTGGTCTGAAGAAATGGTCAGTAATCCAAATCCGTGCACTTATCTTCTGCAGCTGTTCTTTTATAGTATTTTGAGCATTTGCCATCTAATACCAGAGAAGCAAAGCCCAGTCCAGAGGCAGTGAATACTCCTGTCAGGACCCATTTGTAGCCCCCGAAGGCTACCAGCATCAGTCTCACTTGCCAGCTATGTTCAGGACCTTCCCACCAGGGAAACTGCCACATAGCCCTCTGCGGTCTCCGTCTCTCTTGATAGCAGGTAGAACAGCTCTTATTGGCATTTTGTGCTTCAGAGGGTGCACAAAGAATGTGTCTGGATTCAGCCCATCTTTGCACTGCTGCAGACCCCCCTGTCTACTCATTTCATGGACCCAGGCTGCCATCTCAAAGGAGCACACTGGGATATCTACTTATTTCAATCACCTTCCAAACTTGGAAGAGCATTCTTCTTATATGCTTCTACTTTAACGCACCTTTCAAATTTTCATAGTGATTTCCACAGGGTTATGTCTTGTATGGGCACATCTTTAGTACCCAGGTTTCTATTGCCTTTCTAATCTGACCATATCACCAGGCCATTGGCCACTGCCCTGGAAACTACTCTTCTCCACCCACTGCCCAATTTATCCACTCTTGCACATAAGGTCCTCAGTGAGGGATCGACCCAAGGGACCCTGTCCCCTCTGTCAACCTTAAATTTGATTCATCTGCCTAACCACTGCCCCAAGTGGTTGCTGGTCCATTTCCTCATAGTAATCTCTACCTTCCAGTCTTTAAAATTTCTCCAGACAGGGGTAAATAGAGCGGATGTGTTTGGGGTCCTTTAATGTTGGGTGACAAATAGTGGGTCCCACACGTCCACCGACCTTAGGTAACGCTGCATTGAAACGTTTAACTCCATCAATTTCTGCTTTATTCATCCCATTGCCTAATAACCATAAAGATTTCCACCCTACTGGGACAAGTCCCACCACTTTTCCTTGATTCCTTTGTTTTGCCCCTTTCAATATTTGCTTTGTTAATGTATTTCTTAATAATCTTCTAGAAATTTTCATTCACCTTCTTGGAAACAGTCCCTTGACTCTCCCCTTGGCCTCTTCCCATTTTCTTCTTAATTAACCTAATGTTTTTATTAGCATCTGTAAGACCCAGGAGGGGAAGGAAGCTCAGCACATTTGATAAAGATTCCCTGTTTTTCCATTTTGCAACAATAAGGTTATATGGGGTGCTCATGAGGGCCCCCTTAACCACAGCATTTATCATGACATGGGTAATGGATGTATTCAGTGGGTGAATATCCTAATCTTCATAAAGCCAATCCCACATGGCTTACATATAAAGCATTATCAATGGCTTCATCTGGGATGTTCCACTTGTTATTTATAGAGAAAATTGGGCATATAGCCATCTGTAATTTTTCCATAGTGAGCTAGCTGTATGTCCCATTATCAACCCAAACATGCTCTTTCACTCTGCAGCATTCAAAACGAGACACAGCCTCCAAATCACCCTCACAATCCATCCCCTCAGGAAAGGTTCCTCGGGAAGCTGCTGATACCAATCCACAAAATGAAACAGTTCTTTCACACTATACCCTCTGATTTCAATGGTTTCTTGGTTTTGCTGTTCCTCCCTATTGACGACCTTCTTGGTAACCAAAGGTCTTAGAAGTACTTTCTGTTACCCCTGCATAGTTCTCCCCTTGCTGGGCAGCTCTGAGGCTAGCAGTCTATGCTCAGACTCACTGAAATCTGAGACCTCAAGGTCTGATCAGGCATCCTCATTTACTTTTAGTTTAGCTTTTACAGTTAACAATAATCAAGGGGTAGAAAATTTTGCCTTTTTCTTACACTTTGCATTTCCTTATGCATCAAGTGAATCAACCACAGGACTTGGATCCATCTCTAAATTCCTGGTGGTAACTTTTACCTTTAGTAGCTGACCACAGCACAGCTGCGGCTCCATACCATGGGTGACCACATGGCCACCCAGAAATCAAAGGTTCCTCATCCCCTGTCCTTTCACCTTTTCTTTTCCCAAACCAAATGTTTCTGTGAGCCAGGGTCATTCTAGCAAATCCCACTTCACTGACACTAAACTAAATAGGTTCTGAGCCCAATTCCAATGTATATGCATGGGGGGTCAGGGGACGGGGGGTCCCCACACCAGCAAAAGCAATGCTCAGACACTAGCAGGGTGTCCAAGGAATCAATTCAATTCTGACAGCATTTACCTGGAAATAGCATCAACTTTCACAGGTTAAGGGCTCAGGCCTATAAGACTGCTCTCCCACGCCCCACTTCAGATGCCAGTTGCAAGCCTGTGCTTCTGAATAACTAGCTATAGATTGGGGGTTCCAATAGACCCTTCCCTGGGTTTCAGACACCAGTCATAAGCCCAGGTTGTTACCCTAACTTCTGGCCAACTGGCTGTCTATCAGAGGTTCCCACAACCTCCTCCTCGGGTTCAATTAATTTGCTAGAGTGGCTCACAGAACACAGAGAAACATTTTACTTACTAGATTACTGGTTTATGGGAAAAGATATATATATTTGTATGTAAAATATATATAAATATAAATAAGTATAGTATAAATATAAATAAATATAATATATAAATACATATATAATTATATATTTATAAAATGACATAATAGCCAGATGGAAGAGATTCACTGGGCAAGGTATAAGGATAGGACGTGGAGCTTCCACTGTCCTTGCACCTCCATGTGTTCACCAAGCTAGGAACTCTCCAGAAGGGTCCTTTTGGGTTTGATGGAAGCTTCATTACATAGGCATGATTGAATAAATCATTGACCACTGGCAATGGATTCAACCTTCAGTCCCTCTCTCCTTCCTAGAGGTCAGGGGTGAGACTGAAAGTTCTAACCCTCTAATTACAGGGTTGGTTCTTAGGTGGGGTCCAAAAGTCACCTTGTTAACATAACAAAAGATGCCTTCATCACTCTCAATACTTAGGAAATTCCAGGGGTTTAGGAAGCCTAAGTCAGTAACTGCAGTTGAAGACCAAATATATATGAGAAATATATTTTGGTCACCTGAATGACCAAATATATATTTCTTTTTTTTTTTTTAAACATTTTATTTATTTATTTGAGACAGAGAGAATGAGAGACAGAGCGCATGAGAGGGAGGAGGGTCAGAGGGAGAAGCAGACTC